TATTTATTTATTTCAATGAATCAATGTAAGTGTTGTTCCTTTGATCAATAGAGTTGAATAAACTATTGGCCATTGATTCATTCATACAATCATCTCTCCTATCATGTGGTTGCATTCCTAATCCTTTCACTAAGAGGCCTTTGCATTCCTCTTTTGTTTGTCTATTCATTCTCCCATTCATCCATCAATGGAACCACCTATTGACCTACAAGTTGAATCCAGTATAATCCAGTGCTTAGTGTGTTTATTTCATTAACTCATGAACCTGTCCATACACTCATTTATCCATTGATTTTCTTATGTATTCATTTCTACATGCTTCTTTTGATGGCTTAATTTACTAATCTACCTACTTCTCTGTTACATTTCTGAGGACAAAACTTCAAGTTATTAATATAAAGTTTCATGTTAAGTTGTGGTGTGTGTGTGTGTGTTGTCAATTCATGTCCAAGGTGAGAATTTCTTCTTCTTCTCTCCCTCACACTCTTGCCTCATCACAGTTGCTCTCAAGTCTCCCTGTGCAGTAGCCCTTTGCTGTCTATTTTTCTTTCTTTAGTAAAACCCCGCTGAACTGCGGATGAATCTCATGGAGGAGAGATTTAAAATAGTTTTAAACATGGGAAGAGAGAGACGGGCACTTAAGAATGGGACAGTTGTTTGTACCCTGAAAGCTCTCAGTTTCTCAGCAGAGTCTCCTTACTGAACCGTTTCCCTGTGTCGTTGGCTGATAGAATACAATATCATTGCTACAAAGCCGGTAAAGCAGGTCCACTTTCCCCATTTCCTGTGCAGAGAAAGTCCAAAAGGAGATTGATCAGGTGATCGGCTCACACCGGCTACCCAACCTTGATGACCGCTCCAAAATGCCATACACTGACGCAGTCATCCACGAGATTCAGAGATTGTCTGATCTTGTACCTATTGGATTGCCTCACAGAGTCACCAAAGACACCATGTTCCGAGGGTACCTCCTCCGCAAGGTGAGACCAGCTGCAATTCCTCATCACTACTCCATGGGCATATTCTATGTTCCTAATCACCAACCTCATCCCGTCTTGTGTTTTCTCTGCATTGTCTTAGGGATTGACTATTTTCATATGGGAGTCAGGATATGTTAACATCTTTATCTCATAACTTCTCCTAGAACACCGAGGTGTACCCCATCCTGAGTTCAGCTCTCCATGACCCATGCTACTTTGAACAACCAGACACCTTCAATCCTGAGCACTTCCTAGATGCCAATGGGGCATTGAAGAAAACTGAAGCTTTCATGCCTTTCTCTGCAGGTGAGATAGGCATGTGATTTCTTTCCCAGACACTAGAGGGCAGGCCCCCCCTCTGAGACACAAACAGCAATAGGTCCCTGTTTACTGAGTCTATCCCAGCTGCCTTGCCTAAACAATCTCATTTAATCTGGCTACAGCCCCATGAGGGGAGTCTTGAACTAAAGGAGCATCCTGGTCAGGAGAACTTTAGAAAGTGTTTAAAGTCAATGCTAAGAAATTTAACACAGCAGCAGTGGGGGGTAAGCCTTGTTCTGCCGGGCCCAGAACAAGGAATACCCCTGGTAAATCACATCCTGTGACAGATCTGGTATCATGGAGGTTTATCTGTGGGAAGAGAGGGGAGTGAGAACTTAGCAAAGGGGGACAGAGGAGGACAGAAATAAGGACAGAAAGAGAAGCTCACCAAGGAACACAATGTGGAGGAGAGAGAGAGAGAGAGAGAGAGAGAGAGAGAGAGAGAGACAGAGAGAGAGAGAGAGAGAGAGAGAGATAGCGCAAGCGAGTGAGCAAGAGATGAGGGATAGAGTAGAGAAAGGGGGGAAGGGATATGGGGTAGAGAACAGTCCTTTTTATATCCTGTTACTACTGCATCTGACTTGCATCTGACAAGCAATGGTGGCAGATGACGATGCAAGCTGTTGCTAGGTCACTGGGAGAAGTTTGGTGGAATTGCCTGTAAAGCGACCTTTCTCCCTTCTTGTGTAACTAAAAATAAAGAACTAGGAAGGGGTAGTGGTGGAGCTGGAGTGCACTTGTCATGTTCTTTAAACTATGTCCTGCTAAGTTTGGAGTGCTGGTCTGTTTTTAGGGACCCTAAGAAAATTGGAATGTTGGACAAGTCCTGGGAAAGTTGGATGTGTCACTGTGTTCTAGGATCTGTGGGACCATCTTCTGCTAGGAATGGGCAGGCCCAGTAGAAGAGCCTGTGAGAGTAGACAGGAACACCTGTGGGTAGCTTCTCTGGAACTGTTGTGGATGCAGATGTTGAGCAAACATGTGAATTTGGCAAGATCCTGAAACACATATACACATTAGAGGGAGAAAATTAAGTTAAGTTTGTTAGGGACAAGACTATTTTCTTAGGTGTACCATTAAAACCCCTAGGCCCATGGTCTTGGTAGTTGGGGGAGAGGAGTCACAAAACCAGGGGAGTTGGTTAGATCCCGCCCTCTGGAATAGACAACAGGTTGGGAAGTTAGGC